GGAAAATTTCATAACTATAAAAAACAGAAAATTGTCACCAACATCCTTGGAGAGACTCGCATGAAAAAAACATTCAAATTATTCATTTAATTAATGCTATACAGAAAACTATGTTGTCAATATCATCAATAATTGTTCAAATTGTGTTAAGTATTAATATCTATAACTAATTAGTTTTTCTTTTTTTCATACATTGTCATATCAGTGCCGGATTTACCAATTTGCCGTCCTACGCCTGTTTTAGGCGCGTAGCCAGAAAATTCAGCTGGGGTGGGGGTTTCGCTATTGAAATTAAGATACATTGCATGACCATAGGGATGCCAGAAAAAAAATTGCGCCGCAGGCGAAAATTTTGTAGAGTTTCAAGATCAATGCTTTATATGAAAAGAATAAAATTTTGAGGGTAAAAAAGTATATGCTAAAACATAGGTTTCGTGGTTTTTAATTATATTTTCTGATCAAGTGGTGGGGGGGGGGTTTAACCCCTAAAACCTCCCTCATGGCTACGCCCCTGGCCTGTTTGGAAAGGCCGCCCTCATGTTGGCACGAGCGGCGAGTACCTCAAAAAACGAGGGACCGATAAGATACAGGACTAGGACACGGACAGTAGTGACGTACATAGCCAGGCTTTTGGAGGCGGACGGGGCAAACTTAACAGGGACGCCACAGAAATAAACGAAAATCATTTTGGGTGCCACGCCCAAAAACGTTTATTTTGAGCCTTTTTTCATTTTTCTTTCTGTACTACCTACATTTTATTACCTAAACTTGGTATAGGTACATTATTTTGATCTGTGTGTGGTCTTTTGTTCGATTAATTTTTTTCATATGCACTTTTTATTTTTAAAACCGGCGTTTACAGGCTCTATAATTTTTTTGGTAGGTATCTGTTCTTTGTGCTTTGTTATTTTTTGTATTTGTTATAATATTGTTCGAATTTATCAAAAATCAAATAAAGGTCCAACGCGAAACAGAACCGCGTTTCGCGTTGGATCTTCGGCTTTCTTTTCCCGATTATTTTTTGTCTTTTTTCTGATTCTTTTTTTTTTAAATTTTGCCGCCTCCCCAGATTTGCCGCCCTACGCCTGTGCGTACTGTGCGTATATGGAAATACGGCACTGTGTCATATTATGTAACTAATTTGAATAAAATTAAATCTACCTAATATGTCCGTATAAAGAATATAATAATAACAAAGTACTGCGAGTAGTTTAGCCCCAAAAGTATCACAGATTTTGTTCCTGTATTTTGTGCAACTAATGGTGAAATTTACTTTTCATCACCAGTTGCGAAAAATTTTACTTTTCGTATCTGGTAATGAAAAGTGAGGCATTTGATAACGTCAACGAGTTTTGAAAAGTGTCACTTTAAATGTCAAAATTAGAAAAAAATAATTAAATAACCAATATTTGAAGTTGATATCGCTTCAAACGCGAGCTAAACGGGAGACATATGAATGGTTCCTAGAAAACTAAAAAACGCTTTAAAATCCTTTATTTATACCTGTTAATGCACCAAATTTCAATGGCCGGGACCATGTTTCCAAACAGAATACACTTTCAACATAATGAAGGAGTATAATAGGCGTCAACCCGACTTTGGATATCAGATAACTCAAAAATATACTAACTTCCAACGTTAGTCTGTCAGAAAACTAACTTTTTTCCTGTGGCGTGACTGGAGTTGCTGATCGGACCAAAAACTGAACTGAGTTCAACTTACGAACACTCCAAAATATACAATTTTCGATAGCGCCTACGTGCCTCTCCGTACCAATCGGCTGCCGTATTATTATAATTTCTTCCTCTAGTCTGTCCTAGATTGATCTCTTCTTCATTATTGAGTTATTTCCTCGGTTCCATTTGATTAAGCCATTCCTCATGATCGAGTTGCTTATCCTGCATCAACTATTGTTCCTCTGGAAAATTAGTTGCTTCCCCTACTAATATTAATTCTGCATTCAGATTCGCCCCCGGATGGGCATTTGTTCCTGAAGAATTTAAACTTAAGTTCTCGGATCTGTCTGTCTTCATGTAGGCTTGTGCCCCTGAATTAACTTCATGACATATTTTTTTTTTGTCAATATGAGGCAGTTTACCTGAAGGCTCAAGGCTCGTTTCATTTTTAATTTGATGGTCTGATGGTCTTGAACGACTTTTTTTTATTTTGAGGTTGTATTTGAGAAAAGGTTAGTTGAAAAGGTGACTACTCCGCGGAAACGTTTTCAATTCAACTGAAAAACTGACTACTGCTTAGTTAAATCTTCCAAGTTCGGATCTCCGTCGAGAAAACTTTTAACATAACTTAAGTTGTCACCTGAACGTTGTAAGAACGTTATTCCCATTCCCAAAATATTAACTTATTGTAGCCGGTTGCGTAAAAGTTGTCACAACGTAGTTTAACTAAACTCCTGCACAACACTAAGACGACATTGCCTAAACTCTACACTTAGTACAACATTAATTTTGGTGTATTATGTGGTTATCGTCGTCAAAATGCTACTTGTGCTAGGGATACTGAACAACTTGAGCTTGCAATGCGTTAGGTATGCCGATGACATTATCATCATAGCAAGAGGAAAGTTCGAGGGCACCCTGTGTGAACTCTCATAAACTGGACTCAAAACAACAAAGGAATGGTGCCGAACAGTGGAACTGGAAATAAACCCATCCAAAACCACCGTCATGCCGTTCATTAAGCCCCCTAGAATAAAGGACATCCAAATACACGGGACAATTATTACACCGGAGACGGAAGTCAAATATCTCGGCATAACGCTAGACTGCAAACTCAAATACATCGAGGTATTTGTAACCAAGGCTACAATGGGGCGCCGAAGCCTTACAGAAAAACCTGGAGATACAAACCAGGGATATTGAGATGGATGTACACCACAATAGTAAGACCAACCCTACTACATGGATCGATAGTCTGGTGCAAAGAAGTTGAAAAACTGAATATAAAGGCAGCTCTCAACAAATTGCAACGCCTGGCGTGCACATGCATCACGGGCGCACTGAGAACCTGTCCTGCAGCAGACATCAAGACAATTGTAGGTCTCGCACCTCTTCACATCGTGGTAGAGGAGGCCGCTAGAAGCGCAATGACTAGAATCACCAGGCGGGTCTAGCGAGGGAGGTTGGCTTGGAAGGAGAGGATTAGCATCTCTGAGCACGCTTATTTCACTCCTCAAGCTCCCCAGGAATGATATAAGTAATCAAAACATATAATGATGAGAAACGTTTCACAGCAGTCATAAGAAGCAGGAAAGAATGGGAAGAAAACACCGTAATAATTCTCACAAGCCGTAAAGCGGTACACTGATGGGTCAAGAAATGAAAAAGGGACCGGAGCCGGAGTACTTGGGCCTGGATTCAAGTTCTCCGAAACAGTGGGATAATACCCAGAAATATTTCATGCGGAAATGAACGCTTTGAGTAGATGTGCTGAGTTCAATCTTGGCAGAAACTACAAAAATAAAGACATCGTCATATTCTTAGACAGTCAAGCAGCCATCAAAGCGCTGAGCTCACATACAATCATCAATCAGGCATTCCCATACCATTCTGGGAATATTTGGACAAGTTTAACAAACTGGGCAAAAGTAACAAACCACCCCTCCAGTGGATACCGGGACACGCAGGAATCGCAGGTAATGAGAAGGCGGACCAGTTGGCGAAATTGGGAACACAAACTTCGCTTTCAGACGCACACCTATAAGGAAGCGTTCAGAAAGAAAAAGCGGACCAAATGGATCAGCCTCTGAGAACAGCTTCCAGGGTTAAGGCAATCAAAAATGTTTCTTGGGTCCCAAAGCACCTTGTATCGCTGAGTAAAAGCAATTTTCGCATTCTCACTGGATTCCTCACAGGCAACTGCCGGTTAAGAGGGCACCTTGAGAGTATTGGAATTGGAAACGAAGACAGCTGCCGCTTCTGTGAAGAAGGGAGGGAAACCCCAGAACACCCGCTCACGGAGTGCTAGGCGATCGTGAACAAAGGAATTTCCTGCTTCGGAAGCTACATCGTTGGACGGGAAGAAAGTCCATTCATAGAACCATCCAGCTCACTTGCGTTCATAAAATCTTTGAAGCTGGATGAGGTGTTTTGAGTGAGTATCATATCAACCGAAGCACCCAGAAGGGGGGAACAATAAATCTATGCAGGTCGCAATGTAACAGTATAACAATACCCTTAATTCATTCATTTATTTATAACATCTACCAATATCCCAACTATATAGAAGATAATTGTCCAATCCCATTGGCGTTTCTTGATTTTTTTTTCAGCCAACGCCTTCCTCGAAATATCACTCTATACTAGCGTTACTTCGGTTTTCGTTGCACTATTCGGAGTGCTACTGACTTTCGGTTACTTATCCGTCGGTTAACTCGGGCGCCACCCTTAGTATTAAAGTGGTCGAGGGCCCACTTGCTCCAGGTAGCATATCAGTGGAGACGGAAAACCAAAGTTCACTGCGCAGCCAATCACCTTATGGCTTTGGTGGTGGGAAAGTCCGCATGACCGATTGGCTAGGGCGCTTCCCGACGAAGCAGTGCTGGTTCGGCCGTTCGGTAGTATTGGCTTTTACGCCTGGCGCAAGGTCACGCGTAAAAGAATAATGATTATTGAAATAGAATAAACTCTGAGACCAATTAAAGCCATAGAACCTTTCCAAAACAGAAAAAAAAAACGTAACCTCGTTACACGTTTCCGACGGACGAGACGATTTTGATCGAAATAATCGTAGGCAGTTTTGTACCTGATTCAATTTGAGGAACCTGTAGCTTTCCAGTTGCCTCCCTTCTCAACCGCTTCAAGCACCTCTGCTCTACAAATTCCAGATATTTGAAAATACCTTCTTGGGGTCGACGATGGAAAGTGGATGAATAAATTTTTTTCTGTGTTTACCGAAATTTAACTTATTTAAAGGTTTTTAGGTTAGCAGGGCGTAGTTTCTGATCCAAGATAAGAGTTCAACCTTACTAAAAATATTCTTACCCAAACTTCTCCACACCCTCAAATCGGCCTCTTCGTCCCACCTAGCAGCCGATGTAGCTCGTATCTCATCATCTAAAAAATTGGCAAAGACGATATAATCCCTTGGCACTTCGTTTTCTAACATCAGGCACTCCGACGAACCGCTTCTCGTTAGAAACGTGACGTTGATTTTTCTGCAAAAATAAATTTGGAGTCTCGTTAATAAATCAGTCGGAAAATTGAAAAGTAACTTTATTTATTTTACGCAGCACAAGGCATTTTGATTAATGTTTGTACTTCGGTGCGACGAAGGCGGACGAAGGGTATAGTAAATGCTTGATTTATATGGAACATGAATAGGCACTCCGGGCAGATTTATTTTTTATTTGCTTGCTTTTATGTCTTGGGCATTCTATACATTGTAGGCAGAATTATATTAAGGGAGAAGAATCGGACTTTTTATTATTGGCAATATTTTCAAAATTGCCAATTCAAAATAAAGTTATGTTATAGCAAGCTTCTCAACATGATTTTCACAATTCCTAAAAAAACTCAATGTCACTTTTATACTGAAATAGAATTTATCGTTTTTTTCTTTACTATTTTTCGGTTGGTATTGTCAAAATCTTTCGTGGTAAATGTCTGTGTCGGGTTGAACATGTAAATTTTTCTTTGGTGAAGAAAATTCTATACAAATAGAAAACAATAAATGCTTAGACCTGATTACTAACTGGAGACCAGTGGTTACCCAAGTAACATTTTAAATGCTTTTTGGCATTATCTAGGTTATATGAAAGCTTCAAGAATGTGAAATTAGAAGCTTACTATTTTAAAACTATTCTGTTTTATTGAAGAGCTGTAACAACATTGTAATCACCCAATATTACAGCCTTTTAGCATTAAAAACGCGAATAGTTTTAAAGTAGCCGTAATAATCTGCAAACATTTCTAGCTTAAAGCTACTTTACTTTAAGAAAGGTCTGGAAACCGTTCTGCTTTATCTTAACCTACGAATAAGGAATTCAGCTGTATGAAGGGAGTGCAAAAGTAACTGCAATAAAAAGTTCCTGGGATGTGATGTAGCACGTGAAAGTGGCAGGCGACATCTACCGTTCAATAAAATTAGTATTTTGAAATTTTATTTTAACCTAACAAAAAGCTTGTTTATGGTCTGTAAGGCCGTGTCTGTAACGTAACGGTTTGTTTCAGTCCACAACAAAAAACAGGTGGTTAGGGTGGTTTACTTACAAAAGGCCTTTTTGGAAAGATAGAAAACAAACACTGGTGATCGGATTAGTGAGAATAATCGGATCTGGATCAGCGTTTTCGAAAAAGCCTAGTGTTTTCAAAATTTTATGCTATATCTAGCGAAGAAGATCCAAACCCTCTCAACGCACCAAGCAGGTTCCAAGATCACGAGAGCATCGAAAGAGTTCGAATCTTCTCCACCAGATGGAAGCGTAAAAATTTGAATGCAGCCCTAACAACCCATCTCAGACAAATAACTTGGAGTTTTATGAAGGTTTTTATAAGGCCGTTTTATCCACCAGAAGCTCTAGGAATCACACGCTTTAAAGCAAAATAGCTTTAAGAACAAATAATCCAAGGTTTGCAAGCCTATTTTTACGCAATTTAGATTTGTGGTATACAATGAAAAGAACTGTTAGCTTTATCACTATTTCGCCATGTTTGATTGTCATTTGAACGCGTTTGAATGGAATCCATTTTGTAGAAAAATATATTCACTGTTCATTTTCAGGTATTTTGTTGAATCTGGTATTGTAATTATGATTTTACAGCTTATTATAATTGATTCATCATATTTATGCTTCGAATATCCATAAAACGTGTAAAAAAATTGACACAATATAGGTTAGTATTTTTATATTTTTGTCAAAATGGGGTTTTTTCAAGGCCCCCGAGTTATTTGAACCTTTGAAGTACACTTTCATCAGTAAACTTGGGTTTGTATATAAATTTCAATGCAGAATAACGTCTATCTGCGAATTATATTTATGTAATACCACTTATAGTTATCATAGATCGTCTATTACAAACAGATGTAAGTTTAAATTGTGTTTATGGGAAATTATGGCGAAGTAGAAGAATTGATAAAGTTTGGTTAAGCCCCTTAAGTTTTAAGAATATAAACTTTTATTTTAAAAAATTCCATATTTATAGTTCATTTCTTCCATTTGGCTTTTCAAGGCGGCGTAATTGTTTTATCATAGACTTGGAATAAGTTTTATGGACGCTATCTGTATAGCTATAAAACTTTGCCTTTGGAAACCTCAAAGCTTTAATAAGGTTTTATAAAAGGCTGTTAAAGCAATCTTAGGGGTGGGTCCTTGCAGTCTTGAAAGAACTTTAAAAGGGTTCTTTAATGGTTGCTGAGGCAATATGGCTATATAAAATATTTTTATTCTAGGTTTTGTAGTAACTCTTAACACGTCTTTAAAGCTAAAAATCTTACTTGGGTAGTCCAATAGGTGATAAGAGCCTTTTTTTTAAGTAAATATATCATTTAAATATACTTTAAGCCAGTCATGATATTCTACTGGAGACAATCGTCCGCTAAAGCCAAACCATCAGGCTTTATTTTTACCACATCTTAAACATAAATTAACCTACTTCATCTCTATTTCATCGATTATTTCTTTATCACCGTAATTAGGACCGTTAACCTAATTTGGATTGGTGAAGAATCTCCTGGACCCTCTTTCTTTGAATGCAGTTCTATTGGCGGTAACCTTGCCTTTTTTTAGCTGATGCCGTTAACGATGTGTTCAATAATAATAAAAGACCGAGAAATTTGATCCGATAAAACTACATATTGAGGAAAACCACCTATTTGAAATATTATTTTTTCAAATCTTAATTTTTTTTTTAAACGTTTACGTTTAGTAAAGAAAAGCAAAAAGTAAATGTTGCAACCTAGTAGGCGCTGGCAAGTAGGAGCGAGCGTAGACGCGCCACACAAAAAGGTACCGAAGGGTAGAAAAGAGAATGGAAGACTAGAGAAGATGCTTGTGCCTTGGACCGTTTGTCCGCCATTGTTCATTATTCAATTTTTATTTTGTATTAAACTGATTGTTCAATCCAATTTGTGATTAGTTTGTGTGTCATAAGGAGCCTTCACAGGTCAGTTGAATAATTATTGTTATTTTGTTTTTGAGAGTTGAATTTATACAAGTATTATTTTTTTCATTTTTATGTTTTTTTGTTTGTTTATAACATTTTTTATAACATGTGCATTGTTTATGTATTTAACAAAAATCGTTTCATGCTGTAAACAATGCAGATGAAAAGTAAATTAAAACCTAGAAAAATTATGTACTGTCTTTTGTGCTGGGATTTTAATTTTTGGTATTCAAGACGTATTAGGGCATTGTTGAATCTACTAAAATTCTCCTACCCTGACGAGCGAATATCCTAGCAAACAAATTGAAAAATCAATTTAGAGATATTGGCTCAAAATAACAACTATAGCTGAGTAGTCTCCCATAACCAGAGACCTCAGTACCTGCCGGTAGATGGGCTAGCTAACCAAAAACTCTTCAGTATTGAATATAGGTAGTGTTGATTGAATGTAGTGTGTGGAATTAAAATTTTAGCACAAGCACAGAAAACAACTATAGCTGAGTAGTCTCCCATAACCAGAGACCTCAGTACCTGCCGGCAGATGGGCTAACTAATCAACAACTCTTCAATATTAAATATAGGTAGTGTTGATTAAATGTAGTGTGTGGAATTAAAATTTTAGCACAAGTACAGAGCCGGTACCTAATTTAAACTTTTATCATTGACATAAATTATTGATTATTGAATTATTGACTCACAATTAATTATTAAAATGACACAGTATGTTTCGATTTTTGAGGAATGTTAGATCGAGGGTTTCTCTGCCGTGCTCTTTCCTCTCATTAGTTCCAGGTCGAGAACGGAACGATTTACTTGAATAATAATGTAGACATTTCACAAATTTTTCGTTTATTTTACATATCACAACTTCCCTTAAATTTCCCAAATATTTGCTATGTCGGGCGCATGTCAAGTAAGTAAAATTCAGTAGGTTTCCACAACGTAGGTTCTATTTGTTATTCATTTCGTTTTTCAGAAGATTTGTTGTTTAAAAATGAAATAAAAATTCTCACCGTTCAATCTTGCCTAGCGAACCCGGGTATGGTATACTGCAATATCCTTATAAACAACAAATAAAATTTAGTTTCGACAACATACTGATGAAGATTGGTAAATCCATCTCATACTAATGGTATTAATAGACACAAAATCGTGGCAAGTGTAACATTACAAATGTCACTTCCTTTGTTATAATATAAATAATTTTTACATTTTTAATTTTATATAATTATTCAGCCATATTGCGGCATCTATTGCCTGCTGAATGTATTATTTTATCGGTCAAGCCTTCGAGAGGACATAGGCGGTTTCTTTTATACAATCTTGATCTGTTCGACTCGGTGCTTCGCCGCTCTTTAACCTCGTTAATAGTTTTCGAACGTAGTAATTTTTACATAGCTGAGAGTCGACAGGTTGACAGTTTTTCCTTTCAATACTGTCATGTGAAAGCTATTTATTCTCCAAGAGAAAATTAAGGGACCCATTTTCCAGTTCGGTTGCTGAACCAACTGGCCGCCATAATTATTGGTCCTTAAAAAAAAAGGAAAAGAAAAAGGTAACAGTTAGATATAGCCCCACCACACAAATATATTATTTTCAAGAAAAATTTGAAATAAATTAGTAATAATGGACCATACTAATGACAATAAAGGTGGCGGAAAGAAATTATGCTATAATTTTATTTTTTTTTGTTCAAAATTGTTTTATTTTCTGGTGGGGCGATATCCAATAATTAGGCATGCGATAAAGTTGGATATAGCCCTACCAGAGAAATATATTATTTTTAAGAGAAATTTGAAATAAATTAGTAATAATGGACCATACTAATGACAACAAAGGTGGCGGAAAGAAATTATACCTAATTTTTATTTTATTTTTTTCGTTCAAAATTGTTTTATTTTCTGGTGGGGCGATATCCAATAATTAGGAATAGGGTAAAGTTGGATATAGCCCTACCTGAAAAAAACGGGTCTGGAAAAGTATAAGTATGTCCGATTTTTCGATATTTTTTTTTAACAGGAAGAAGCGCGTTTGGTAATTAACCAGAACACTT